TTTTCTAGGGTTTTTAAGTGAGCCATTAAGTTGCTTGAATGCACTGTCTCGAATTTCTTCTTGAAGGCACTTAGTGTTATGAACTTTCCTCTTAGCACTGCCTTCATTGTGTCCCACAAGTTTGGGTATGTTGTGTCTTCATTTTCATTAAGTTCTAAGAAGACTCTAATTTCTTTCTTTATTTCCTCCCTGACCCAGCTGTCATTTAGTAGCAAGTTGTTCAGTTTCCATGTGTGTGTAGGCTTTTTGCTATTTCTGTTGAGGTCCAGCTTTATTCCATGGTGATCAGACAGGATACAAGGGATTATTTCAATCTTCTTGTATCTGTTGAGGCTCGTTTGTGACCAACTATGTGGTCTATTTGGGAGAAGATTCCATGAGGTGCTGAGAAGAAGGTCAATTCTTTTTGTGTTTGGGTGTAAGGTTCTGTAAATGTCTGTTAGGTCCATTTGATTCATGACCTCTGTCAGAGATATTGTCTCTTTGTTTAATTTCTATTTTGTTGACCTGTCCTTTGTTGAGAGTGGGGTGTTGAAGTCTCCCACTATTAATGTGTGAGGATCTATATGTGGTTTAAGTTTATCAATGTTTCTTTTACAAATGTGGGTCCCCTTGTATTTGGGGCATAGATGTTCAGGATTGTGATGTCTTCCTAGTGGAATTTTCCCTTGATGAGTATGAAGTGTCCTTCCCCATCTCTTTCTATTATTTTTGGTTGAAAGTCTATTTTATCAGATATTAGAATGGCTACTCCTGCTTGCTTCTTGGATCCATTTGCTTGGAAAGCCGTCTTTGAACCCTTTACCCTCAGGTAATGTCTATCTTTGTGACTGAGGTGTGTTTCTTGTATGCAACAGATTGCTGGGTTTTGTTTACGCATCCATTCTATTAGTCTGTGTCTTTTTATTGGAGAATTGAGTCCATTGATGTTGAGAGAGATTAATGACCAGTGGCTGTTAGATCCTTTGATTTTGATGTTGGCTGCGGTCATAAGGTTATGTGCTTGGTTGCTTTTTGTTTTACTGTAGTGTGGTTAATTATTTCCCGTGTTTTCTTGAAAGTAGCTAGTTTTATTGGGTTGTATTTTCCCTTCTAGTGTCTTCTGTAACGCTGGATTTGTGTGTAGGTATGTTGAAATTTGTTTTTGTCATTGAATATCTTGTTTTCTCCGTCTATGAGGACTGAGAGTTTTGCGAGGTATAGTAGCCTGGGCTGACATCTATGTTCTCTTAGGGTCTGCATGATAACTGTCCAGGCCCTTCTGGCTTTCATAGTCTCTGTTGAAAAGTCAGGTGTGATTCTAATGGGTTTGCCGTTGTATGTTACTTGGCCTTTTTCCCTTGCAGCTTTTAGTATTTTTTTTTTTGTTCTGTATACTTACTGATTATTATGTGGCGGGAGGATTTTCTTTTCTTGTCTAATTTATTGGGTGTTCTGTAGGCCTCTTGTATTCTTATTGGCTTTTCCTTTAAGTTGGGGAAATTTTCTTCAATGATTTTGTTGAAAATATTTTCTGGGCCTTGGAGCAGGGAATCTTCTTTTTCCTCTATTCCTATTATTCTTAGGTTTTGTCTTTTTATGTTGTCTTGAATTTCTTGGATGGTCTGTGTCAGGAAATTTTTAGATTTAACATTTTCTTTGACAGATACATCTATTATTTACATTGTATCTTCCACACCTGAGATTCTTTCTTCCATCTCTTGTAGTCTATTGGTTATGATAACCTCTGTAGTTCCTGTTTTCTTTCCTAAGTTCTTTCTCTCCACAATTTCCTCCATTTGTGTTTTCTTTAATTTTTCCAATTCTATCTTCAGATCTTGAGCCGTTTTGTTGATTTCCTTCACCTGTCTGACTGTATTTTTCTGTTTTTCATCAATTCGTTCAGCCCTTTGTTTGAACAATCCTGTTTCTTTTATTTCATTCAGTGATTTAAGCATTTCCTCTCTAAAGGCCACAAACTGTTTGGCTGCAACTTCCTCCATTTCTTTACAGATGGCCATAATCTGTTTGAGTTTATCTTCCTCTAGGTCTTTACATATTTTATTTGTTTCCTCTGTTATCCTCTTCATGAGCATAGCTGTTAGGTCATCTTCTTGGATTTCAGTTATGCTGGGTGTCCAGGGCTACTTGCCCCTGGATAACTGGGTTCTGGAGATGCCATATTGCTCTGTCTTTTGTTGGTTGAGCTTTTACGCTGGCCTCTACCCATTGGGCTATCTTAGGTGTTTGGGTTTAGTTTCTGGTGGTTCCTGGGGATCTTGTGGTGGAGAGAATCTCCTTGGCAGGAAGATGGTTTTTCCAGAAGGAAGTCTTCTCAGCTTTTTTGGGTATAGTCACTGGATGGCTGGTGTTTTTCAGGAGTTGCCACTGCTCACCTCAGGGATAGAGACCTGAGTGGTAACTGTGGTCCTTGTTAGTTGAGAGTGTTCTCATCTCTCCCGGGGAAGTCCTGAAGACAGCTGCCCTGTTTTGGGGTTTCTTGCTGTAGATTTAGTGATCTGCTGCTGTAAACTGCATGTCTCCTGGTTTGGTCAGTTTTGTTAGGGATAACTGGTTGCCCTTGGAGCAGTATCTGGGGGTTGATCTCAGGGATTCCAGGCTTTTGTAGGTCTGAGGTTGAGGCTCTATATCCTAGTACCCAAGCGGTAATCTGTGGTGGGTGGGTACCGCTCTCCTGGTAACAGCAGGTTATCTGGTGCACAGCAGGTCCCAGGGTTGGGCTGGTCTGCAGGACCTTTTCTAGGGATATACTGGGTGGCCTAAGTCCATCACCTTTGCTTCATTCCCTGTGAGGATTTCTCCCACAGTGACACCCAGTCTCTGTTGCCCTGGGGCACACAGCTGGAGAGCTGGTGCGCAGCAGCTCTCTGTGCCTGTGGCTGGAGCCCAGTTCAGTGATGGCAGCTCATACCCGCTGGTCTGCGAGACTTATTCCAGGGAAAGACTGGGAGATCCAAGTCAATACCATTTCCTTCCTTCCCTGTGGAGTTCTCTCACAACAGGGACTCCCAGTCTCTGGTATTTTTGTGTCCACCGATCAGCCTGGGAAGGTGATCAGGACATACAGGCATGTGGCTCTGATCTGGGGACCTAGTGCCTGCGTGACCCAGGATCTCTTCTGGGTTCTGGCTCGGTGACCTGAGAGTGGACCTGACTGATTCCCACGCTGTGGGGGTTTCCTCTCACCTGGGAAACACGATCGGTGTTGTTTTAGGGCCCATAGTTCAGCCTCTTGGTAGCTGTACGGGAAATGTTGTCCTGCTCCTCAGGCACAGTGTTCTCCTGGCACCGCCATCTTGTCTTCATCCCCAACATCTACTCTTGAAGGCTTCCCATTCCCACCAAGGACACTCATCTAAGCAAACCAACTTGCCAAAGTTAACTAAAGTTTGAGAAAAGTGCCTGGAGAGATTATGCATTCTATACTCAGAAGAAAAAACAAAATAAAAAAGTATCAAAGTGCTGGAGGCCTGTTCTTAAACAGCAGTGAGTCTGAGGAATCAGATTTGAAGTTTTGTGTTGAAAAGCAACCTTTCAACTCAATGCTTAGCTGAGTTCTATGAATACATGACTAAAAGCAAGAGAAAACTCGATTTGGTTCCATGAGGACAAATGTGTGTGGGCAGAGACATCATCCCTTTAGCCAAACAGCAAACAACCGTAAACATTTAGTGAGCCTCTATTATGAGTCAGGATCTGTGCTAACATGGGAAACAAAGATAAATGAGGCATAATTCTACCCCCGAGGAGCTTGCAGACCAGTGGAAAAGACAGATGTGAAAACAAGCAACTAATAATATCAGTACGCTGTGGTAAGAGATATTGTGAGGTGTGTGCAAAGTGTTATAAAGTGTTATCAGAATTTAGAGGAGAGAGAAACTCTGCCAGAGGCCGTAGAAGGTATATTGGCTGATGAAGGATGAACTGGTGCTGATGTTGCAGAAAAGTAGAGATGAGTTTGGGAAAAGGTGCTTCTGATTTCAAGCTGCCTCACAAAAATGTGATTCTAATGGGGAAATAAAGACAGAGGGGGAAAATTGCCCTAGGATGCTGGTAACCCATGGACTACTCTCCAGAATGTCTGAAACAGGAAATTGCCTTCCATCCTTAGTAAACACATGAAGAGGCTGGGCTCTTCCTCTCTTTGCTTAATTACCTTTGCTTTGTAGCAAGCAAAACTGTTGTTTTTAGGAGAGAGATGTTGAGGATCTAGGGGCTTCAGGAGCTGAATTCAAGCTTTCTGACTACCGAGGCCTAAATTTGGAGTCACCAAACCTGGGGTAATCTCGCTCCTAACATTATCCTCTATGCTGCTTCTGGCTAGTCCTCTGGTTTTTCCTCAGTGTCTGCCTTAATTGTGAGGATTGGCCAAGTTAGAGCCCCAAATCACCCATATAGGCTTAAAGACATGATATGTAGCCATTCCTTACTTTCCTCTACCAGAGACTGAATCAACAAGTTAACATACAGTATGACATAATTGCCAAAATTGAAATTCATCACATTTTCTGAACCCAAGCAATTCCCTTTAATCTACCATTTTCCCTGCACGGTTTACTAAAAGAATGAAACAACAAGATCCCTTAGAACACAGTGATTTTAATTGTACCATCTTAACACAAAACTATTATTTTCATTACATAATCTGAAACATAATTGTATGAACCCAAGAACTAAAGGTTTGGCCAAGGTTGGAACTCTCATAGCAAAGCAACATAATAAATAAAATCTTATGCTACCACATGACAGGTATGGAACCTAGGAAATTCTTTTAATTGCTTAGCACATCATTTTCATCATCTCTAAGGGAACAATATAGTAATCCCAACTTCTTATGGATTAATTTACAAGGGGACTAAATAAAACATTGTATCTGAAGATTTTAGCACAGTGCCTGGCACATTGTTAGCATTAATAAATAGACATTGTTGTCACTGTCACTATTGCCTGGTCATGTGCAAGCCTTTTCAACATCTCCATCCTTCCATTTTCCTCTCAAGGTGCTTCCACCCAGAATTCTAACACTGTGGAGCCAGAGAAGCAGGTAGACAACACAGTGAAGATGGCAGGTGTGATCGCTGGCCTCCTCATGTTTATCATCATTCTCCTGGGCGTGATGCTGACCATCAAAAGGAGGTGAGTCTTGACACTGCTCAGAAGATCCTGCTGACCCTAGATGACCCCAACACTACCATGTGCCCAAGCCATTGCTGTGTAAATTACTGTCCAGTAGAGCTTTCCTTATAAAACACTTGAGTTCCTTGTGCTACTGTTTGAGAGATATGTGTTGCCTCTTTGGCAAGTGGCTTTGAAAGACCAGCTGTTAACATGGTCAGTGATTCCTATGGCTCCCTTGTGGTGCCGTGGAGTTTGGCTATGATGAAATAAGTCTTGGAATTAACTACTCTGTAAGATTGGCAATGCCCTCAAGATTATTGGAGAACTCCAGAAACACAGATGAACACAGGAAAACAATGTTCTACTTTTCTTACCTGTATTTCCCCATATCCACTGATGGAAAGCAGCCTCCCATACTGCCCTCAACTCCTCCAAAGGAGTGAGCATCCAGAGACTCTTTTACCTGAGATTCCTACTCCATGTCCTCCCAAAACCTTCCCAGCTAAATATTACTGCTTATTATCTTTTATCAGGATCTTTCCCTGGGCACCTATCGGCAACCAATACAGTTTTTCTTGTGTTTTGTATATTTATATATATATATTTTCAAATCACATTGCTGATGAGAGCAAGGGTATCAATATTTTCTTTATTGCAAAAATTCAACCTCCCACACTTATCTTCTGTTTGAGATATAGTAATAGGACTGAAGATAATATGAGGAAATTAAAGAGAGGAATAGAAAATGCAAAGTAAGAGTATGATCTGGCATTATCATCACAAATAATTATTTATTCCTCAGAACTGGGTCCCTTGACCATCTCTGTTTAGCCTTTACCTGCCACTGTATTGGCACACTTATTTCTCATATCTGTTTTTTCTCAGTTGTACTGTCGGGCCCTAGTCATGGCCTCCATCTTCCCACTTTCCAGACAAATCTAAGAAGGAATCATCCATGTAATAGTAACATCTAGTAGAACCCTATCTTTTAACAATAAGAACAATAGTCTATGTTAGTCCCTCAAGTGATGCCTGAGACTGGAGCTCTGGGTTTGGTTAGCTGAGGAGTTTGGGACAACAGCAATGAGAAGGACCAGGGAATTTCTACCATTTTCAAGTTGTTCGACACTTTTGAAATTTGTTTTCCACCAGAATAAAGAAACAAAATGTCTCCTAAAACAACTCCAGTTTATACTCAAAGAGTTATATGAATACCAATGAAGAAAAAAAAAAAAAGAAAAGAAAAGCAATGTCCTTATTTCCAGCCACTGATGACTCAGAACTCCTGGCGCTGTTATCATATAGGCAGCCAGTGTTTTCTGAGCCCTGTAGTCACCAGTCTCTCTCTCTCTCTCTCTCTCTCTCTCTCTCTCTCTCTCTCTCTCT